CATTTTACTGTCTACTAGGGTGTCAACCCAGACCTCATCCCAGCCTGCAATAATATTACTGATATAAGAGTAATTTAAACCGTGCTGGAGTCTGGCTCAGTGGTAATGCGCCCGACCCTGGACCACATTATGCCCCTACAGCGATGGAGGTTTGAGACTGCTCGGCTGTGCCCTTACTTACTGTACTTCCTCCCCCCGATCTTGATTCTAACACTGTTCTGTCAGAAAAACCAATACAATATGTGAAGGATCTTTGATAATCTAATCTCCTTTTGAAAAAAATATAAATTCATTTTCTAAGAGATTCCTCGAATTAATTTACGGTGGATGAGATGTAAATGTGCAGGAGGCAGCTCTGCAGTGGTCACTAGCCAGCACAGCCAAAAGTCATAAAATCAGATTTTAAACCTAACCCTGATCTTAACCACACTGCTAACCCTAATGCCTTAACCTAACCTTAAATGAAGACCATAAAGCACATTTTAGTTTTCAATAACTTTTACAATATAGCCAATTTAGACTTTACAGCTGGCCTTCTAAGGAGAAATCGCTCAGTTCTGCATCCTAAACCTTTTTCACACTGCAGGCCTTAATGCTCAAATCTGTTTTGTTTTTCAAATCCGTTTTGGAATATTGACTGTCCAAACAGCAAGTTACAAGTGACCAAATCGGAGGTGTGTGTGTTCAGACAGCAGTCATTTGCTGACATAGCAATACTGGTTGTCATAGTAACGATGGGTGTGTGGGCAGTGGTGTCTAAGGTGACCACAATGTCTGCCATGGATGTTTCCAAGTTGCTTTGAATGCTCCAATTCATATTGTAAAAACACCTTTAAAGCCTCAAAGGATAAGATTATCCAACTTTCAAAACAAGCCATTTTTGGCTAGCCACAGCAGTCAACGAGCTAGCTAAGTAGCAGTTTTTAGCTTTCTAGCACATTCACTAATTTGTTTTTAAAAAATTAACAAGCTAGTTAGCTACCACATGTTCTTGTCAAACTGTCAACAGAGTAGCTAGCAAGCAACAAGATATGCCAAATGACAGTAATAAGTCTAAAAAAATAAATCAGATTTGACTACTCAGACACAGGTCGTATGGCCAGGATTCAGATTTGTATCTGACTTTAAACCACTGACGAAGGTGGTTTGAACTGTGGCTTGAAATATCAGATTCCATGTGCTTTATGGCAGTTCAGACTGCAGGAAAAATAACAAATTAAGAGTCGAAAATGCTAAGAAATCACTTCAAAATACCAACAATACAAAATATGACTACCGGTATTATGTACCCAAATAAGCAAAATACTATTTCCTGTTCCATGCAACTGCCTTACATTGTTTTATTTATCACATTGGCACTTACAGTGCATTCGGAAAGTATTCAGACCCCTTGACTTTTTCCACGTTTTCTTAAATTACAGCCTTATTCTAAAATGAATTAAATTGTTTTTTTCCCTCATCAATCTACACACAATATCCCATACGGACAAAGCAAAAACAGTTTTTTAGACATTTTTGCAAATGTATTAAAAACAGAAAACTTAAATATCACATTTACATAAATATTCAGACCCTTTACTCATTACTTTGTTGAAGCACCTTTGGCAGCGATTACAGCCTCGATTCTTCTTGGGTATGACGCTACAAGCTTGGCACACCTGTATTTGGGGAGTTTCTCCTATTCTTCTCTTGAACTCCTCTCAAGGATGGGGAGCGTCGCTGCACAGCTATTTTTAGGTCTCTCCAAAGATATTCGATCGGGTTCAAGTCCGGGCTCTGGCTGGGCCACTCAAGGACATTCAGAGACTTGTCCAGAAGCCACTCCTGCGTTGTCTTGGCTGTGTGCTTACAGTCATTGTCCTGTTGGAAGGTGAACCTTCGCCCCAGTCTGAGGTTCTGAGAGCTCTGGAGCAGGTTTTCATCAAGGATCTCTCTGTACTTTGCTCCGTTCATATTTGCCTCGATCCTGACTAGTGTTCCAGTCCCTGCCGCTGAAAAACATCCCCACAGCCTGATGCTGCCACCACCATGCTTCACCGTAGGGATAGTGCCAGGTTTCCTCCAGACGTGATGCCTGGCATTCAGGCCAAAGAGTTCAATCTTGGTTTCATCAGACCAGAGAATCTTGTTTCTCATGGTCTGAGAGTCCTTTAGGTGCCTTTTGGCAAACTCCAAGCGGGCTGTCATGTGCCTTTTACTGAGGAGTGGCTTCCGTCTGGCCACTCTACCATAAAGGCCTGATTGGTGGAGTGCTGCAGAGATGGTTGTCCTTCTGGAAGGTTCTCCCATCTCCACAGAGGAACTCTGGAGCTCTGTCAGAGTGATCATCGGGTTCTTGGTCACCTCCCTGACCAAGGCCCTTTCCCCCGATTGCTCAGTTTGGCTGGGCAGCCAGCTCTAGGAAGAATCTTGGTGGTTTCAAACTTCTTCCATTTAAGAGTGATGGAGGCCACTGTGTTCTTGGGGACCTTCAATGCTGCAGACATTTGTTGGTACCCTTCACCAAATCTGTGCCTCGAAATAATCCTGTCTCGGAGCTCTACGTACAATTTCTTCGATCTCATGGCTTGGTTTTTGCTCTGACTTTATACAGACAGGTGTGTGCCTTTCCAAATCATGTCCAATCAATTGAATTTACCACAGGTGGACTCCAATCAAGTTGTAGAAACTTCTCAAGGATGATCAATGGAAACAGGATGCTCCTGAGCTCAATTTCGAGTCTCATAGCAAAGGGTCTGAATACTTATGGAAATAAGTCATTTCTGTAAATTTTTTATAAATTTGCAAAAATGTCTAAACCTGTTTTTGCTTTGTCATTATGGGGTATTGTGTGTAGATTGATGAGGAAAAAACATTTATTTAATCCATTTCAGAATAAGGCTTTAACGTAACAAAATGTGGAAAAAGTCAAGGGGTCTGAATACTTTCCGAATACACTGTATGTTGAAAAAAGTTAGCTCCGCCCAACCTTTCATAAGCCAATCAAATTAATGATCTGCCCTGGGAACACTTTTGAGTAAGTAAAACTGCAATGAGCCCACAATGTACTGTACAATGTAAAAATGTAACTTCACATTCAAAGAGTGTTTGACATTTGCTTTTATTGTGTTAAAAAGCTTTGGTATTTCAGCTGCTTGTCCTTTTACACGTATCTTTAAATTAGAGACAAACATGTACAGCTAGCTTCATCATCAAAACCAGGCAGAGGTGTAAACGGGTCTACCGTGAGAGAAGTTGTACGACAACTACAATAGATTGTTTTCCACGTACGCAATAACAAAGTCAGCGATAACAAAGTCAGCGATAACAAAGTAATGTCAAAAACTTTTTTTTTTTAATCATAAAATAAAATGTTGTCCATTTCACTTCCTAAATGAGCAAATAATGTATCTTGGTTACAAGTTAGCCTACTCATGAGCCAACCTTGGCAAACCTACAGTTTTTTAAAGTCTTTCCTATGTAGCATTGTCTATTCCTATGTATCTTGCATCTGTGTACTGCTCCACTATTGTCAAAATGTTTTTACATTCAACACACTGCAAGTCTCTCGAGACACTGTATTCATGTTGGTGAAATATAACAGTCGACCAATCACTTCACTTAACAAAATGATCTACAACAAACGGAACTACAACACAGTCGGTCGATATTATTATGATATACATCATGACAGTTCACCCCTGGATGAAAATTCCCTTTATAAGCAGATATAGTCAGATTGTCTGTGGTCTGAGACCTGGGTCGTGTTCATTATACACAAAACTGAAGAAAACAGTCCGAAACGGTAGGGAGGGGAGGGGTGGGTTCTGAGCCTGTCCAATAAGAAATGCTTGTTATCGCTTTCTGGCTAAAGGCTACAAAGGCAGTTAGGCTAGTGTGATCTGAAGAGCCAGTCCTATAGAGTGCTGCCAAACAATGAATGCAGTGACCACCCCTAACCCATCAACAGCTACACAGAGGGGCTTCAATATTTAACATGCAATGCAGGGCCATGTTCAGTAGGAAAACATTTAGGAATGTCATGAATAGATTTGACGTGATTCCTCTTTTTACGTGTTAGAGAGGCATGTTTGTTCTACGTTCCACAACATTGTGCCATGCTGAACTTGGCCCAGGCGAGATTACTCCAAAACGATACCATATCGTCCTTCTACTAAAACACAAATATCCATGCTTACTACAAATTACTATCGGCTGTGTGGCGTAGTATTCTGTATTCTAAATCGCTTTCTTACCCCTCGACAATCATTATGGTAATTACTCCATCGAGCCCTTGGATAGGCTAAGTGGAAATTTCACCATAGATTTAAATATTTTCAGATCTACAGAAGATCTAGAAGGTAGAGGCTAGAGTTCCATTTGGAATTCAGCAGTAGTAGTGCATCCCAAAACCTTACTGTACACGGCAAACCTGTAATGCTGCGGCAAACTGAACCCTAAAACTAGGCCAAGTTATAAACCTGAGTATGAAAATGACAACACAACAAAATACACAACTTTATCACTAGTCATAAAAACGTAGCAGCTAAAAGAAGGAAAAACTGTCAGTACACACGAGAAATAACACAAGATAGATCTAGGATCAGTTTACCCTACTTACATATTACCTTCATCATTAACAAAATGCAAAACTGAAATTAGATCAGTGTCTAGGGGCAACATGAAAGTACTCCCACTCACTGTCCTCCCTCATGGCCTCTACATTAGTGGGTCACTAAGGCACTGGTGCATACAGTCTGGCAGAGAAACTGTCATTTTTTAACTGTGCGCTACATACAGTTAAAACAACCCCATCACAAGAATAAAACAAAAAAGAAACAAAATGAAATGTGACATAAATATATTTTTCCATACTTAATTATACATTTTCATAACATTAATTCACTTAGAATAAAAACTCAACAATTTCAATGTAAAAGCTTCGGGAAGAGCATGCCTTTCTGTTAAAAAATATTAAAAATTGTTTGTTTTATCTTCTTCAAACTAGGAGAGAAAAATCACTTGATGGCTTTCTTGTTGAAGTCAAACAGACCCTTAAGGTCCAGCATGGCCTGTTTAATGTTACCCATGAAGCGGTGGGAGTCCTAGAGCGAGAGAGAGAGAGCGAGAGAGAGCGAGAGAGAGAATGATATTTAGAGGGATAGAAAGAGGTAGGAGAGAGAGGTATGAGAAACCGGTAGAAGAGAGGTGTGAGAGAGAGAGCACTGTAAAATGAACACTGTAAAACCAAAATTGCAGACATAGCAAAATAGCATAACTGAGTGGAATTGTATCACATGTAAACATACGGTCTCTGGGCTAGAGTGTTTGCTGGAGATGTGGAAGTTGATGAGGTCCTCTCCAAGAATGATGTAAGACACTCCGTAACCGTCGTCAGCCACCTAGAGGAGACAACCATAGATAAGCTGGGTCTCTTTAATTAGGCACCAAACTACCTGGACATGGATGACATTTAGAAGGATTCAGCAGTGAGAGAAGAGAAGAGAATACTCACCGGGCCGAAGCCTCCACCGGAGGTGACAAAATCAGGGTGTTTGGCCAGGTCAAAAAGTTCCACCTGCTGCAGTGGAGTCTGACTGGTGGACAGCCTCCAGGGCTCTGACAGAACCTGCAGGACACAGAAACACAGACAGTTTAAAGGGACAGTTCAACCAAATTACACATTTGTATCATTATCTTGTAAGCAGTCTAACGGGCAGTTTTCCTGAACTGAAAAGCAAGATGGAGAATCTTCATCAAAAATTATTTTTAGTCCAGGACTCAAATATGTGTCCGGGAAACCAGCACTATGGGTTTAATAAAGTCAAGTCAAGACTCGACTTCTACTTTATTTTTTATTTTTTTACTTTTCAGTGTCCGTAGCAACCATCACTCACCTCATGGAGGAAGGGAGAGTCCACTCCCAGGTACTTGGAGATTACGTAAAGGCAGAAGAGGTGACGGTCGATGCCCTTCCCTGTCATGGCCTCACGATACATGTTCTGATGCTTCTCTGATGCCTCCTTCAGTAGTCTCATACGCTCCTCTTTCTGAGGACAGAGAGAGAGAGATGAGGTGAGGTAGAACCATAAAGATAAAGGGAAAGAAGGAGGTACAAAGGCATCTTGACAATATAGCCAAAATGTTGGGCATTGGCTTCTGTTTCTCTTTGTTTAACCTTGTTATTTTTTATTAAATTAACCCATAAGAGTCTAAGCTCTGTATAAGCCGGGGGAGGGGGGGTTCTACTAAACTACTGTATATGGAATTGTTTTAAGAAGGTCATACCAAGGATCCTTTAGCTATTTGATTTTGAATTTTAAGACCCCTTGAAGTATAAAAAAAACACACATTTGTTAAAATCCCTGTTAGTGAGCCTTTCTCCTTTGCCAAGATAATCCATCCACCTGACAGGTGTGGCATATCAAGAAGCTGTTTAAACAGCATGATCATTACACAGGTGCACCTTGTGAAGTTTTGTCACACAACACAATGCCACAGATGTCTCAAGTGTTGAAGGAGTGTGCAATTGGCATGCAGGAATGTCCACCAGAGCTGTTGCCAGATAATTTAATGTTCATTTTTTCTACCATAAGCCACCTCCGTCGTTTTAGAGAATTTGGCAGTACGTCCAACCGGCCTCACAACCGCAGACCTGGTGTAACCACGCCAGCTCAGGACCTCCACATCCGGCTTCTTCACCTGATCGTCTGAGGAGGGGAGGGGGGTGCTGAGGAGTATTTCTGTCTGTAATAAAGCCCTTCTGTGGGGAAAAACTCACTCTCATTGGCTGGGCCTGGCTCCCAAGTGGATGGGCCTATACCCTACCTGCGTCCCTGCCTAGTCATGTGAAATCCATAGATTACGGCCTAATTAATTACTTTCAATTGACTGATTTCCTTTTATGAACTGTAACTCCAGTACAATCTTAGAAATTGTTGCATGTTGCACTTATATTTTTGTTCACTATATTTAACCCCTTATTTCTGACACTAAAACAGTCTCCTTTAATACTTCCATTAATTATTTCAACTGGAACCGGGGGACCTTCAGACGAGTCTTGTGAGCCCTGTGCGTGTCTTAAAGCAAAATAACTGGCATGTACGTGAGAGTCTCATCTTTGCACAGAGGGGTCATATTAGTGTGTAGCCCAAACTGTTCGGACGCTACAGACAGAAGTTGGCAGATCGGCTGTACCAACTTCCGATGAGTCCCAATATGCTTGTGGGGATCGTAGTGCAAAACGGAGATCACCATCGTGTTAGTGAGAGTCTCATCTTACATAATAGTTTGTAGGCCGACGATTTTGTGAGAAGACAGATTTTCGGGATGTCTCATGGTCTGACAAACACCGCTCTAGCTCTGTCACCTTTCACCGCAGATGCGGAAGTGCAACATAGGCGGATGCGTTGCATCGAGACGCATTCCAATGCAAAAAAAGACATATCTCTAGCTTAAACCGATGGATTTTGATGGGGATTTTTATTATTATGTTAATTAGATTTCCGCAGGAGCACAGACATCAACCTTAGGCGGTTAAAGAATATCGTACAATTCTTCCTGGAGTGTGGTAGTCATTTCCTTTTAGTGGACAGCACCCCACAATAACATTGTTTAAGTATTTTGGATGTATGATTGACAACACACAAACCACACTGATTTAAAAAGGAGAATGGAGGATAGAAGCAGGAGTGAGGTGAGGGGTCATTGTGAACTCTGACCCTTACCGTCTCGTCTCTGATCATGGAGCGGACGAAGGCGCAGGTCTCCATGGTGCAGGAGCGCACCGTCTCCGTACGGCCCTCTCTGAACAAACGTGTCATCGATGCCTCGTACGTTAGACAGAACTTTCCCTTATCCTGCAGAGAACATACAAGTACGTAATAATAAACATGCCGTCAGCTGTTACACATCATGGCTTAATTATTGCCTTGTACTTCTAGGGGCAGTTTCCCTGACAGTTTAAAGTGCCATCCACACCTAGGGCGATAACTATAACGAAAACTATAACGTTAACAGAAATCGTTCGAATTCAAGTGAACATCAGCCTTCACACTACAACAGTGGAGAACAACAACGATAGCTATAGTTGGGATCACTTTCAGAGCAAATGTTTCCATGTCCCCTCAACGATACAACCATAACAACCAATCAAAAACACGTTCTAGCCTCTGGTCTAAGCTGTAAAGTACAATTAATGTCTTTTTAATAACTGCTCAACAGTTCTGCATAGAACATGGACATTCTACTGCAAGATGAATGAAAATAAAATGCTGCTAATTTTCTCATTGATGAAACATCTGATCTCAATACATTTTTCTGTTCACAAAACTACAACATGTTATGAACACAGTGCACTACGCTTTGTAGACTTGACGTTTGCCGAAGTTTAAAAAAAAACTGCGTTGTTTAGAAGGAGTGCAAGGCCGAATTTAGTTTGTGCACACGCACACTTCACAGATGAGGCGTTCCCTAATGGAAATATACAAACACATGCTACAACGCACCAATAAGATCTCGCTAGCTCGTGCTTGACTTTGCCCACCTCCTTGCTTGTTCTTCCCCGATACAGATTAACTATCTTGGGTTAGTTATAAATATCTTTGTTAACATCTGTAGCCCACCTGATGCTGCATAATAGCTAAATACAAAGGCTGAAGCATGGTGTTGACAATATGCATTCCCCATTGGGCTAATCATTAGCTTGATCCCAAACTCTAAAAATGATCTTGTTAAAAGATAGCAACATATTGATGACTTTAATATCCCCCCAAAAACACAGTGACTATAATGTAGGCCTACTCCCTGTTACAATTGACCCGTGTTACATTTAGACCCTATGCACTCATGGTGAATAGTGGAGCGCTTACGTTTACTAAAACAGTGCAGATCGTTCATTTTTAAGAGTTGAGAAATAAATGTAGTAGCAATAGAAAGCTGTTGACAGAGGAAAAGTAAATGTGGACAGTTCTAGCATCTTCAAAGTGCACATTGACCAATATTTTTTTTTTTATATGTTCAATATATTTTTGGCGGCAACAATTTAGCAGCGGCGTAGCGGCGCTGCTAAATTAATACAGGGGAAACATTGGAGTTTACACATCGCATCCGGAGGACATTTTTTTTTCTTTTTAACTTGTTCACTCTGACAAGTTCAATCTATATTCTGCTTGTCCGGCTATTTGCGTGAAGGTCGAGCCCTGAATAATCGTTAAATATATTTTGAAATCCCTTCACCCTGAAGTGTGCGAGCTGCAGGGCAATCTGGATGAAAGCATCGGGGCTGGTGCGGCACTTCTTGATCAGGCCCTTGCCAAAGTCCTTGAAGGGGAAGATGTGCGAGTCCACGTCATCCGCCAGGGCCTGGGCCAACTTCAGAGAGCTCTGGATTGTACTCTGGCACTGAGGATCACAAGATAACGTAGAACACATGTCAATCAACTGGTGGCCCACGGGCCAAATCCGGCCCCACAAGCCAATTAGATGTGGCCTAAGGCTTAATGTAGTTGCAAGCCCCTGACTTAGCCAATAGTATAATAATAATATGCCATTTAGCAGACGCTTTTATCCAAAGCGACTTACAGTCATGTGTGCATACATTTTTACGTATGGGTGGTCCCGGGGATCGAACCCACTTCCCTGGCGTTACAAGCGCCATGCTCTACCAATTGAGCTACAGAGGACCACTAGTAGTGTTAGCAGTAGCTCTGGCGAAAGTCAAATAAAATAAAATATCATTTTAGATCACTGGACACCAACTGGAATCCAGGGTCATATTCACAGAACGCAAACAAAGACGTCTTATTCACTAGACACCACGGAAGAAAACGTACCAAAACAGGGAGGGACTACCTGATCTTGTCCAATAAGAAACGCTTGTTTTCATTGGTGCAAACGTTAGCAAATTGTTATGCAATGGAAAATGTTTTGGTCTTCACTAATGAATACGATCCAGCATTCAAAGGGCCATCAGTACCTGGCCATGAAACAAAGGTTGGACATTTGGCGGTTTTGGAATACAAATATAAATGTAACCAATTCTCCTTTCACCTCTGCAGGGATGTCCCACTGCAGCCTCTGGGGTCCGGGCAGGTTGGGGTGGGGCTCCCCGTTGCAGTGGCCCTCCTCAGTGTAGCCCAGCTCCAGAGGGTCCATGTACAAGACTTGCTGAGAGATGGAGGGGAGAGAAAATCAGTAACTGACAATACAATGACAGAGCTCAACTCTTTAGATTGAAAATCTTTCACAATATGTTAAAAGGACAGACCTGCCGAAATTCGCTCAATTCACAAATAAGCCGATTGGCTGTTGTATGGGACATACCTCCCAGAGATGGCCTATGATTGGTGCGTCGGCCCAGGCGTGCTCGGCATTCAGGCCCATGGTTCCGTTCTTGAAGACGATGAGGTTGAAGGACTTGTCAAACCACCTGGAGAAACACAGCACCATGTAAAATGTATCTTAAAGGGGCAATCTGCAGTTACTAAACAGCTGAGGGATGGGACTGGAGAAATGAAACCACTCTCAAACTCATGGACAGAGCTATGGATACAGGGACTGACCATCCATGATATCAATATTATATTTTTAACCATGTTTTGAGGCTATAAATTGTTTGTTTACAAACTAAGAAGTAAAACAAGCTTATATGTTGGGTTCTGATGGGGTATGACAGTTGAACTAAACTCATGAGGCATCTATAAGTTATATTGTTCAATAATCAATGGAGGAGGCTATATAACATTAATTTAAAAGTCTAAAAATGGATGTAACAACTGCAGCGAGATTATGGTAACTGGCCTACAGAAACAGTAGCTTAGTCCCAGATCTGTTTGTGCTGTCTTGCCAAGTTTGTCGTGACAATGACCATAGGAGTTGGCAAGAACGCACAAACAGATTTTGGACCAAGGTATACTGTAGAAACAGCACAATGTGACATAACCCACTGGGCATACACTGGTTGAATCAACGTTATTTCCACCAAATGACGTTGAACCAATGTGGAATAGATGTTGAATTGACGTCTGTGCCTAGTGGGAATTGTTCTAATTCCTCAGTGGATTGATAGCCTGAGCTGCCCTCCTTGGCTGTCATTGGTTGGAACTTGCTCAATCACAACCTTTGACTGGTTTCAGCCACTCACCTGTCGTAGCATTTGCCGTGGAGGAGGGACTTGGCGTAGCTGTCTAATGATTTCACCGGGTTGTCAGCCTCGTATTTCTGTTCTGAGTCGTCGAGGGTTACGAAGAAGGCAGCCTTCTCAATGGCATCCAGAGACTGCTTGTTCTTGCCGCTTCTGAAGTAGGTCTCACGTGCATTGGCCCATGGTGTCCTGGTGAGCAGGGTTAGAGGTCAAATAGGAGTAGTGGAGCGGACATTAGAGGTTGACACGGAAGTGAAGATTCCTGTCCTGTCTTGTCCTGTCAATTTTTTTCACACAACAGTTCTATAACCCCGGAACGTTCCTGTCCCGTCCTGATAAAAATCCTGCCCATCCCAAGCTCATTTTTACGCGTAGACAGAATAAATAACTTCCTCCATTAGCAGCTCGATGCAGAAAAAGCTTTTGATAGACTAGAATTGTCATACTGTATCTCTGGTCTGTCTTGGAACATATGGGAATTGGCTTAAATTTCATTAAAATGATTAAAATGCTACACTGCTCAAAAAAATAAAGGGAACACTCCAAGTCAATCACACTTCTGTGAAATCAAACTGTCCACTTAGGAAGCAACACTGATTGACAATACATTTCACATGCTGTTGTGCAAATGGAATAGACAACAGGTGGAAATTATAGACAATTAGCAAGACACCCCCCAATAAAGGACTGGTTTTGCAGGTGGTGACCACAGACCACTTCTCAGTTCCTATGCTTCCTGGCTGATGATTTGGTCACTTTTGAATGCTGGCGGTGCTTTCACTCTACTGGTAGCATGAGACGGAGTCTACAACCCACACAAGTGGCTCAGGTAGTGCAGCTCATCCAGGATGGCACATCAATGCGAGCTGTGGCAAGAAGGTTTGCTGTGTCTGTCAGCGTAGTGTCTAGAGCATGGAGGCGCTACCAGGAGACAGGCCAGTACATCAGGAGCATGGAGGCGCTACCAGGAGACAGGCCAGTACATCAGGAGACGTGGAGGAGGCCGTAGGAGGGCAACAACCCAGCAGCAGGACTGCTACCTCCGCCTTTGTGCAAGGAGGAGCAGGAGGAGCACTGCCAGAGCCCTGCAAAATGACCTCCAGCAGGCCACAAATGTGCATGTGTCTGCTCAAACGGTCAGAAACAGACTCCATGAGGGTGGTATGAGGGCCCGACGTCCACAGGTGGGGGTTGTGCTTACAGCCCAACACTGTGCAGGACGTTTGGCATTTGCCAGAGAACACCAAGATTGGCAAATTCGCCACTGGCGCCCTGTGCTCTTCACAGATGAAAGCAGGTTCACACTGAGCACATGTGACAGACGTGACAGAGTCTGGAGACGCCGTGGAGAACGTTCTGCTGTCTGCAACATCCTCCAGCATGACCGGTTTGGCGGTGGGTCAGTCATGGTGTGGGGTGGCATTTCTTTGGGGGGCCGCACAGCCCTCCATGTGCTCGCCAGAGGTAGCCTGACTGCCATTAGGTACCGAGATGAGATCCTCAGACCCCTTGTGAGACCATATGCTGGTGCGGTTGGCCCTGGGTTCCTCCTAATGCAAGACAATGCTAGACCTCATGTGGCTGGAGTGTGTCAGCAGTTCCTGCAAGAGGAAGGCATTGATGCTATGGACTGGCCCGCCCGTTCCCCAGACCTGAATCCAATTGAGCACATCTGGGACATCATGTCTCGCTCCATCCACCAACGCCACGTTGCACCACAGACTGTCCAGGAGTTGGCGGATGCTTTAGTCCAGGTCTGGGAGGAGATCCCTCAGGAGACCATCCGCCACCTCATCAGGAGCATGCCCAGGCGTTGTAGAGAGGTCATACAGGCACGTGGAGGCCACACACACTACTGAGCCTCATTTTGACTTGTTTTAAGGACATAACATCAAAATTGGATCAGCCTGTAGTGTGGAGTTCCACTTTAATTTTGAGGGTGACTCCAAATCCAGACCTCCATGGGTTGAAAATTTTGATTTCCATTGATAATTTTTGTGTGATTTTGTTGTCAGCACATTCAACTATGTAAAGAAAAAAGTATTTAATAAGATTATTTCATTCATTCAGATCTAGGATGTGTTATTTTAGTGTTCCCTTTATTTTTTTGAGCAGTGTATTTGCCAATCCCTCAGCCATAGTTATAACAGGCAATATCCGCAATATTTGCTATATTTATTACGCATGGAACTCCTGGCCCAGGCAATTCGTCAATCGAAATAAATAACAAAAATTGCTGCAGAATCTCATTATATGCAGACAATATTTTACTATACAGTGCATTCGGAAAGTATTCAGACCCCTTTGTTTTTTCCACATTTTGTTACGTTACAGCCTTATTCTAAAATTGGTTAAATTGTTCATTTATCTACACACAATAACCGATAATGACAAAGCGATTACAGTCTTGTGTCTTCTTGGGTATGAACCTACAAGCTTGGCACACCTGTATTTGGGGAGTTTCTCCCATTCTTCTCTGCAGATCCTCTTAAGCTCTGTCAGGTTGGATGGGAAGCGTCGCTGCACAGCTATTTTCAGGTCTCTCCAGAGATGTTAAATCGGGTTCAAGTCCGAGCTCTGGCTGGGCCACTCAAGGACATTCACAGACTTGTCCTGAAGCCACTCCTGCATTGTCTTGGCTGTGTGCTTAGGGTCATTGTCCTGTTGGAAGGTGAACCTTCACCCCAGTCTGAGGTCCTGAGCAGGTTTTCATCAAGGATCTTTCTGTACTTTGCGCCGTTAATATTTCCCTCGATCCTGACTAGTGTCCCAGTCCCTGCCTCTGAAGAACATCCACACAGCATGATGCTGCCACCCCCATGCTTCACTGTAAGGATGGTGCCTGGTTTCCTCCAGACGTGACGCTTGGCATTCAGGCCAAAGAGTTCAATCTTGGTTTCATCAGACCAGAGAATCTTGTTTCTCATGGTCTGAGAGTCTTTAGGTGCCTTTTGGCAAACTCCAAGCGGGCTGTCATGTGCCTTTTACTGAGAAGTGGCTTCCATCTGGCCACTCTACCATAAAGGCCTGATTGGTGGAGTACTGCAGAGATGGTTGTCCTTCTGGAAGGTTCTCCCATCTCTACAGAGGAACTCTGGAGCTCTGTCAGAGTGACCATTGGGTTCTTGGTCACCTCCCTGACCAAGGCCCTTCTCCCAGGCGGCCAGCTCTAGGAAGAGTCTTGGTGGTTCCAAACTGCTTCCATTTAAGAATTATGGAGGCCACCGTTTTCTTGGGGACCTTCAATGCTGCAGAAATGTTTTGGTACTCTTCCCCAGATCTGTGCCTCGACACAATCCTGTCTCAGGTGTGTGCCTTTCCAAATCATGTTGAATTTACCACAGGTGGACTCCAATCAAGTTGTAGAAACATCTCAAGGATGATCAATGGAAACAGGATGCACCCGAGCTCAATTTCGAGTCTCTTAGCAAAGGGTGTGAATAGTTATCTAAATATGGTATTTCTGTTTTTAATTTTTAATTTGCAAACACTTCTAAAAACCTGTTTTGACTTTGTCATTATGGGGTATTGTGTGCAGATTGATGAGGATTTTTTGAAAAATCTATTTTAGAATAAGACTGTAACATAACAAAATGTGGAAAAAGTGAAGGGGTCTGAATACTTTCCGAATGCACTGTATACAGTGTAGACAATGTACAGTGCCTTCCGAAACTATTCACACCCCTTGACATTTTCCACTTTGTTGTGTTACCTTTGTTCATCAATGATCTACACAAAATACTATAATGTCAAAGTGGAAGAAAAATTCTAACATTTGTAAATAAAAAAACAAAAAATAATAATAATATATCTGGATTTGATAAGTACTCAACCCCCTGAGTCAATGCATGTTAGAATCACCTTGGCAGCAATTACAGCTGTGAGTCTTTCTGGGTAACTCTCTAAGAGCTTTGCACACCTGGACTGTACAATATTTGCACATTATTCTTTCTAAAATTCTTCAAGCTCAATATGGTTGTTGATCAATGCGAGACAGCCATTTTCAAGTCTTGCCGTAGATTTTCAAGCCGATTTAAGTAAAAACTGTAACTAGGCCGTCTTATGACGGCTTCAATGTCGTCTTGGTAAGCAACTCCAGTGTATATTTAGCGTTGTATATTGTCCTGCTGAAAGGTGCATTTGTCTCCCAGTGTCTGTTGGAAATTAGACTGAACCAGGTTTTCCTCTAGGATTTTGCCTGTGCTTTGCTCTATTCCGTTTCTTTATCACAAAAAAACTCCCTAGTCCTTGCTGATGACAAGCATACCCATAACATGACGCAGCCACCACCATGCTTGAAAAAATGAAAAGTGATGTGTTGTGTTGGATTTGCCCCAAACATAATGCTTTGTATTCAGGACATAAAGTTCATTTCTTTGCCACATTTTTTGCAGTTTTACTTTAGTGTCTTATTGCAAACAGGATGCATGTTTTGGAATATTTTTGTTCTGTACAGGCTTCCTTCTTTTCACTCTGTAAATTCGTACTGTGGAGTAACTACAATTTTGTTGATCCACCCTCAGTTTTCTCCTATCACAGCCATTAAACTCTGTAACTGTTTTAAAGTCACTATTGACCTCATGGTGAAATCCCTGAGCGGTTTCCTTCCTCTCCGGAAACTGAGTTAGGAAGGACGCCTGTATCTTTGTAGTGACTGGGTGTATTAATATTCCATCCAAAATGTAATTATATTTATATTACTATACTTCACCATGCCCAAAGGGATAGTCAATATCAGCATTTTTTTTTACCCACATACCAATAGGTGCCCTTCTTTGCGAGGCATTGGAAAACCTACCTGGTCTTTGTGGTTGAATCTATGTTTGAAATTCACTACTCGACTGAGTGATCTTACAGATAATTGTATGTCTGGGGTACAGAGATGAGGTAGTCATTCAACATCATGTTCACTCTTATTGCACACAGAGTGAGTCCATGCAACTGATTATGTGACATTTTTACTCCTGAAATTTAGGCTTGCCATACCAAAGGGGTTGAATACTTATTGAATGAAGACATTTCAGCTTTTCATTTTTAATTCATTTGTAAAAATTTTGAAAAACATATTTCCACTTTGACATTATGGGGTAGTGCAGGGTTTCCCAAACTTGGTCTTCGGGACCTCAAGGGGTGCACGTTTTGGTTGTTGCCCTAGCACTACACAGCTGATTCAAATTATAAACTAATCATCAAGCTTTGATAATTTGAATCAACTGTGCAAAAACCAAAACATGCACCCTTTGGAGTCCCGAGGACTGAGTTTGGGAAACGCTGGGGTAGTGTGTAGGCCAGTGACAAAAAATATCAATTTAATCAATTTTACAACATTGCTGCCCTGAATTTAGCAGGCGCTATCGACAAAGATCAGTGGGGAAAAGTTGTGATGGACTACTTTCTGCACACGGTCAGTGTGAACCGGAGTGACTTGACAAAACGGGCCAAACAAACTTTAGCTAGCTACAAACAAAATGGAAAAGACACAAGACGTCTTACTTAGTCAAAGTGGTTCCATTCTGGCATGTAGCGTTCATCCATGTATACGGGTAAGAGAGTCTAGCTACATTTTCAGATATGATATGTTTCAAATGTTGTCAGAAAGTTGTTTTCATTGCAAGTTAAAGCGTACTGTTAGCTAGCTAGCAAACATTGAACCTAATTGGTTAGCTTTAGCTACCTGCAGAATCATACTACAGCATTTCATGCATGGTGGCTAGCTATGACAATCCGTTTGTACTGTAGCTATGGGTTGGGATTATGGTTCATGTCTAAACAAAAGACTCCACTTTGCCAGATGTGTCTGGGTGTGATTATGGCCATCTATTGTATTTTATGATTTTTTACCTTTATTTAACTAGGCAAGTCAGTTAAGAACAAATTCTTATTTACAATGACGGCCTACCCGGCCAAACCCGGACGACGCTGTGCGCCGCCCTATGGGACTCCCAATCACGGCCAGTTGTGATACAGCCTGGAATCAAACCAGGGGGTCTGTAGTGACGCCTCAAGCACTGAGATGCAGTGCCTTAGACCGCTGCGCCACTCGGGAGCCCTACATGTGTGCATATCTAGACAATAGTGACCCATCCACTTAGCTAGATGTGGCTGGGGGGTGGTTTTAGCATTTATTTCACATGACCCATCAATTTAGACAAGTGTGTGTGGGTAAGCATCATCTAATGATTATAAAATGTTTATACAATATTTTTTTCTGGACACATTCTGTTTTTCATATTGCTACTATGCAAATATGCAAGTAACCATTTTATTCTACCGTTTACACCTTCTGTATCCTGTGCATGTGACAAATAAACTTTGATTTTATTTGATATAGCGTGTGTTTACCAGAGACTGTAATGTGAAGAATAACATGACCTGCACCAAAGTCAGATTAGGATATAGGCCAAGGACTAGATAAAGTGTATTTTTTCTACTACTTTTTGCTACTACTTTCACCTCTTTTAGTCTTGAAATCTTTGGTTGTTTACTACACTACCTTACTCACTCTGTTTAGCACATGGCCTCACGTGAATCCTTAAAGAGATGGGTGGGGCTATGGCTTAAGAGAGTGTGAACGCTGCTGAATGGGTGTAGACAAAGAAGAGCTCTCCAGTAGGTGTACCAAAACATTCAGTCTGTACTTTTATCCAATGTAAAAAACACAATTTAAAATGTTGCTACATAAGACCGAATTGAGGTGGTGGGTCACATATTATCCCTTCACACAGTTCAATTTTTTATGAAATGCTCCACACATTACACATTGCACTGTGCACTACTGACTAGGGTCATGTTCATTTGGCCCCAAACGGAAGACAATGGACTGAAAAAGGGAGGGACTACCTAAACATTTCCAATAACAAAAAATAATAATTGCAAAACGTTTTAACTGTAACTTTTCCTTTGCATGCCGTAAAACGGAATCTTAATACATCTGAGTTGGTCTGAGAGCCCCAGATCCTGACAGCAATTTATACTGGCACAATTAGTTGTCCCTTGTGGTGCACACAAATGTAGCGTGATAGCAGGTCGGGCAAGTTCAAGATTCACCAGGGGAATCAGGTACAAAGGCATCCGGCTCGTGGTCAAACTGCTCCGAACTTGAATTCACATACAGTGGGGAGAAAAAGTATTTAGTCAGCCACCAATTGTGCAAGTTCTCCCACTTAAAAAGATGAGAGAGGCCTGTAATTTTCATCATAGGTACACGTCAACTATGACAGACAAATTGAGGAAGAAAAATCCAGAAAATCACATTGTAGGATTTTTAATGAATTTATTTGCAAATTATGGTGGAAAATAAGTATTTGGTCACCTACAAACAAGCAAGATTTCTGGCTCTCACAGACCTGTAACTTCTTCTTTAAGAGGCTCCTCTGTCCTCCACTCGTTACCTGTATTAATGGCACCTGTTTGAACTTGTTATCAGTATAAAAGACACCTGTCCACAACCTCAAACAGTCACACTCCAAACTCCACTATGGCCAAGACCAAAGAGCTGTCAAAGGACACCAGAAACAAAATTGTAGACCTGCACCAGGCTGGGAAGACTGAATCTGCAATTGGTAAGCAGCTTGGTTTGAAGAAATCAACTGTGGGAGCAATTATTAGGAAATGGAAGACATACAAGACCACTGATAATCTCCCTCGATCTGGGGCTCCATGCAAGATCTCACCCCGTGGGGTCAAAATGATCACAAGAACGGTGAGCAAAAATCCCAGAACCACATGGGGGGACCTAGTGAATGACCTGCAGAGAGCTGGGACCAAAGTAACAAAGCCTACCATCAGTAACACACTACGCCGCCAGGGACTCAAATCCTGCAGTGCCAGACGTGTCCCCCTGCTTAAGCCAGTACATGTCCAGGCCCGTCTGAAGTTTGCTAGAGTTCATTTGGATGATCCAGAAGAGAATTGGGAGAATGTCATATGGTCAGATGAAACCAAAATTTAACTTTTTGGTAAAAACTCAACTCGTCGTGTTTGGAGGACAAAGAATGCTGAGTTGCATCCAAAGAACACCATACCTACTGTGAAGCATGGGGGTGGAAACATCATGCTTTGGGGCTGTTTTTCTGCAAAGGAACCAGGACGACTGATCCGTGTAAAGGAAAGAATGAATGGGGCCATGTATCGTGAGATTTTGAGTGAAAACCTCCTTCCATCAGCAAGGGCATTGAAGATGAAACGTGGCTGGGTCTTTCAGCATGACAATGAACCCAAACACACCGCCCGGGCAACGAAGGAGTGGCTTCGTAAGAAGCAATTCAAGGTCCTGGAGTGGCCTAGCCAGTCTCCAGATCTCAACCCCATAGAAAATCTTTGGAGGGAGTTGAAAGTCCGTGTTGCCCAGCGACAGCCCCAAAACATCACTGCTCTAGAGGAGATGTGCATGGAGGAATGGGCCAAAATACCAGCAACAGTGTGTGAAAACCTTGTGAAGACTTACAGAAAACGTTTGACCTGTGTCATTGCCAACAAAGGGTATATAACAAAGTATTGAGAAACTTTTGTTATTGACCAAATACTTATTTTCCACCATAATTTGCAAATAAATTCATTAAAAATCCTACAATGTGATTTTCTGGATTTTTTTTCTCATTTTGTCTGTCATAGTTGACGTGTACCTATGATGAAAATTACAGGCCTCTCTCATCTTTTTAAGTGGGAGAACTTGCACAATTGGTGACTGACTAAATACTTTTTTTCCCCACTGTATAAGCAATAGTACTTAATCGTCCCATGTCAGGGCAACATAAATGCACCTTAACATAGGAGCTACATTGGGGCATCGGGAAACAGTAGGTTTTTTAACTGCTACACTGGCATAAGTTATGTGTCTAGTGTAGCAAGCCAGTAAGTATGCCGTAATGACATCACTTCCTGTCAGCAGCCCCACCCACCTCTCCCCTGCGGTGAGCGCAGCCAGGTGCTCCTCCCCTTCCTGGGGTTTGCTCTTATCAGCCAGGATCCTCTCCATCTGCTGCTCGATCTCCCGCGGCAACAGCAGGCGCCCATCATAGAACACCCACACCTTGAAGAAGCGCCCCTTGTTGAACACGGCGATGTGCTTGCTCTCGTCCACATGTTGAATAGTATCTGGATATACTCAAAGAGGGAGGGAAAGAGGAAAGAGAGGAAAGAGGGAGAGTTGTGGGAGAGGGTGCAAGGATAGGCAGAACAGCTGATTTCAGAGTTTTCTCAACCAAATTCCCTTCCCAGCGGGCAAAGCTGGTTGACATGATGTCATTACAACAAGTTTACAACAAAGTAACTGGTTGTTATCTAGTTGTAATAACGTCATGATTTTTGGGTTCCTTGTATGTATCATTTTTGGGTAAACAGTGTACTGTAAACGCTGGTCCTAGTCAGAGATAATGTAATGATGATTAGGATGGCTGTGCTGGCTTAGCTCTCTGATCTCAGAGGGATGTGGAGAGAAGGGTAAAGAAGAGCCAGGCATTTCACATAGCTTTATCTGCTAAAGACTTAAAGATATAATAATCCAATAAAGTTGTATAGGGAGTTTGTAGGTGGTGGATTTTGTGGAATTGGACAATATTGATAAGCCAATTGAAGTATGTGTCAAAATATCCACAACAAAAGGAAAACAATGATGGTGGTAGTCCCATTCTGTGAAATACCAAAACACCATAAGTATCATACCGGAGGGTCGATAACCATAGTCATCTATGTTGTGAGACAGTTTTTCTTATTCAAGTGAACATCTATGCACTATTCAAAGGATATTAATTTTGAATTAGAAAACGTGAAGGGGACTGGTTTATTCGATCTACAAACTAAAGCAGTGTGACTAGGGAGTGGGGGGATGGAATGGGGGCAATGATTTTGGGTGGGGGTCCAAACGATTGTTGGTGGAGTACCACACATAATTAATACATCTTCTCTTTTTGAAGAAAGGTGTTGGCGGTGTTCAGTGCTTTCAAACAAGCGTTTGCCCAGTTAGGGGAATGGAGGTAGGGGAAAGGGGTCTACGGGATGCTAGGAACACTTTTCCATGGAGCTTTGTTCCCGAAAACAACAACCTCGCACCCAGGTAACATCTAGGCTATCTGCTCAGTTTAATTGCACCTTGAGTAATTGTATCTTTACTTGGGTGTTTATGGATTGGATGTAGGCTGAGTGCCAGACCTTCTGCATTATACAACATTATCTCATTGCTTAGCCAAACAACTACAAAAAAACTACTAAACACTACTAAAATAGTACTCTACTAAAATACTATCAAATGTTACTAAAAACACTACTTAAATATTGTTTTGGAAGACAACGGAAAAGGAGATGGAGTCAGAAACAGACTTGCACCCATGGGAAATGCACCTCTGTTTTAAAAGCTATCCCTATTGACATTGTTTTCAATTATGGTGATCCATGACTGAATACAAATAATATTTTGTGACATTTCTGCTTTTATCATATTTTTGGAATTTAATTTCTTCAGGAGTTTCCTCTGTTCATCTCTACAGAGCCGCACACAAACATTCACTGTGTCATACATTACATTATATTACACTATATTTACACATTAAATATTATACATAATTGCAACATCTAGACTATGATTTATTCTAAAGCATGATTGGTTTGTTAATTGAGCACTCCAAACGAGTTAGAGTGATATCAAAGTCTTCATCAATCCACCAATTAAAACAACTCCGAAATTGAGTTCACGCAACATACATTGATAGATTACTTATGCCGGATATTAGGTTTGTTTCTTAAGGTGGGTCATATATCATTTATAAATGTATCTCCCATAAAAAACTGGTTTGAAATGTTATTTTACAATCTTCGTATCTGAATTCACTTACTGTGATTTCCTCTGGAAAAGAGTGTCTGCTATTTGACTACAATTGAAAGTGAATCATTAATGAGATTCATGGGGTGACAGAAGTGGGTCGTGTTCATTAGGCACCAAACGGAGGAAAAGGAATTGAAACAGGGAGGGATTACCTGGACTCATTTTCGTTTTCCGTTGCAAAACATTTAAAAAAAGTTTTCCTAATGAACACAATCCAGACAGAGACTAGGTCAGTGAGTGTGTTTTTTCCTTATTGGACTGAACATTTAGGGGAAAACCCAGTTTATCGCACCCGACTTGAGGTCATTTCCTTAAAGCTGTCCAATGAGACCTTGCCATCTTGGAGATCAACAATTAATCAAAGGTTAAACTGGTAAGTGATGACTTAAAGGGATAGTTCACCCAAATTACAATTGACATGAAACACGAAAAATGCTAATACAGTGCTTCAGACATTTTCCCCAGGTGACGCTGGTGCCACTAATTTTTTCACCCCATGATTTGGTGGCACCCCCCCAATAGAATAGATTTGAGTCATCATCTTATAAAGTCATTAAAGTAATTCACAATGCTTTATTAAGAATTATAAACTGGCTGGTTCGAGCCCTGAATGCTGATTGGCTGAAAGCAGTGGTATATGAGACCGTATACCACTGGTATGAGAAAACATTTATTTTTACTGTTCTAATTACATTTGTAACCAGTTTGTAATAGCAATAAGGCACCTCGGGAGTTTGTGGTACAGTATATGGCTGTAAGAAGAGCCCTTAGCCATGGTATATTGGCCATATACCAAACCCCCTCGTGCCTTATTGCATTGGTGTAACAGACTACTGAGATGGTATTCAATAAAAAAGTTGTTACAGCTAACATGTCCAAGCAGGAATGCATGATTGAACATATTTTGATATGCAACCTAATCCAGTGATTGGCATGAATTTTGGGTTGACAATTAGACCATTTTTGTTATATTTTGCTTTCATAATAGGACTCCAGAATTTACCTTTTTTTTTTTTAATAGAGATTAATTTGCCTTCATCATTATGTGCACTTATATAGGCTAAGGGTGTGAACATTAAATTAAATTGAACCCTTAACATGAAGAAAAAATCCCTAACCAAAAATGTGTTATTTCCTCCACAAAAGTTAAATCACAGTGCAGTTATCACAAAACTACCATTAACTGGTCCCATCATAAAGGGACATTTTTTAAAGAAACAGGCCTACCTGATGCAACAATGCTGTAATGTTAGTAAGAGGGGATATGAATCTTTCAAATTATTTGCCACGGATATAAAGCGCTCCGCACTTCATCGTCGTTAACAGTTGGAAAAAAGCGCTGATTACAGAAATTATTGCAAATGATATGCAGCCATTGTCAATGGCTTCCTTGAGTTGTGTGGTAATTTGCTAAATGAAGGACTGCGAGCACCATTTGAGCTGCAACTCGCACTACTGGAATAGGTGCATCTTTCTCATCAATGTCACTGTTCACCGTTTACTCCTAGTTTCAACAGGGTGTTATTCCCTTAATAACGGAAGTTGAGACATACAGTTAACAGCATTAGAAAGCTACAATTGTTCCCTTTTAACCCAGTAGGGCCCCGTGTAGCTCAGTTGGTAGAGCATGGCGCTTGCAACGCCAGGGTTGTGGGTTCGTTTCCCACGGGGGGGGCAGTATGAAAATGTATGCACTCGCTAACTGTAAGTCGCTCTGGATAAGAGCGTCTGCTAAATGACTAAAATGTAGATACCTGCATTTGGTGCGTTTTTCTTTTGCCCTGTGTTTGATTTGTGAGCTTATACTTGGTGGGCGGGCTTTTGTTAATCATGAAACAAAGTAGGCCCCTAAACTAATGAATATGCAATTTGCCTTCATCAAAAAAAAATTGTTGTTATTGCATATTTCAATCTAGAACGTGCCTAGGTTTAGTGGGGGGTGTAACCTATTCTAAATGGCACACTATAGCAGTTAGCTAAAAGCCTAAAATAGACAAGATGCATTTTTTATTCCAAAACTGCAGCTCGTGGTTGGAACACATATTTCCCTAATTTAATCAACCACTTTGATTAAGCTGTCCTGATTTGCTAAGGAATGTAGCTTGCCTACAGTTTTGTTTGTGTATTCTATCAGTTAGACTTTTTTATAGGCAATAATTTATGTAGGCCTAATGGGAGCTTGGGTGAACAGCATGAGTGTGTGTAGGGAGCGGTCAGATCGAAATTGAGTGACAGACGTGTAACGGAGAGAAAAGAGAATGTAGGGAGAAGAACTGTGATCACTTGGCTAGGTATATTTTTTGTTACGAGTCACTAATGCACATAACAAGTGGAAGTAACACTAGAGTCAACGTGAATTTATGGTTGTCTTCGGGACAAAAATGTCACCTGCCCGAAGCGGATTCCAAATTTGTATTATATTTACTTATCGTTTTAAAGGAAAACCAATGAAAAAAATTGCTGTTTAAATATTACGAAAATGTTTCTATTTGTCACATCCCTAATATAGGCCTAATTCAATTGGTGCCAATTCACCAGCTGAGGAAGTGGACAATCAAAACACATTAGCTAGATCGCTAACTCTAAATATAACACCTACTGCTAGTAACCATGTATTAATCTAACAGTAAATGTAATGTCCAAAATTCTTTTCGCAAATGAGGCCTAGTGCACTTGCGATGGCGATGCACAATTTTGCGCACTCCGTATTTTAAAGCCATATCAGATATCTTGATTGTAAAACATTGTGCTTTGAGCTCAATAATGATCATTGAGATGTTTTGATTGAGGTAACCAGGTAGAATGTGCAGCTCGCACAAGTGCGACCAATTAAAAATGTTACTAAATGGTTGCAGTCTGGAGCCCTGTAATATAGGGGATAGCATTAGCATTTGGAGACAACAACCAGATAAACCAAACCAAATTATCGATTGCTGTCTTACACTGCTTAAAGGGTAAGGAAACCAATGTGTAATTTTGTAATTTGTGTGTACAATCCCTTTAAGACTGAGCAAGGCTGTCCACTTACAGCTCTCCAATTTAATTTAATTCCAAGTTAAGTTTGTAAAGTACAAGTACAATACAATAATTAATCTATCAATCTACTTTCATTCACTTTCTCATAAGATCATTTGAAGTCAACATATGTAGCCTACAGTTTAAATAAAAATGGTGGGTGCTGATATTTGTCCTGTTTGTACAAGTGTGTAATGGAAATGTGTTTATTGCATATCACAACTCCCCCTGAGACACCCGCGGAGAGTGGGGTCAAGGCCAGGGTCACC